TAATTTGATCATGTAACTAAGATAAACAAAATTTTTTTAAAGTTTTTGGATACTCTCAAAGTCAATTCTTAGACAAAAAAAACTAGGTCTTGTTTTTAAAATTCTGAGTAGTAGTTTTTATTTTATACTCTTTGAATTGATCATTATCCTAGTGCTTTATTTTACGCTCAGTCATGTAGCTGTTTTTAGCTCAGTCGCAAATGGGTTAAAATGAGCTGATTGAGTTACTCGGGAAGAAAGATTGCCAAACATCAGAAATATTGCCAAACATCAAAAAAACTGAATACTACTCTACTCTGTTCTGTTTAACTGCACTACATATAACTCTCACAGAAGCAGATGACCGGAGTAATCAGGTACGTCCACATCATTGATAAAAACTGTACAATCGAGGAAAACTTTGAAGACTTCATTGAGTCTCACCAAAAAACAAAAGTTTTGCAAAAGAGATTATTGAAAAATTAGAGAAGATCTAATAATTTCTGATTGCCGCTGCCAAGGGAGCCAATACTCTTTGTGAATTAGCATACCAAGCTCGCATAGTCTTTGTGAATGAGCAAGATTTATTCTACGTGCAGCCAGAGGCGATTTTACGGGGAAGGGGGTGTGGGGTGGTACAACCTCCCACCCCCCAAATTATAGTCGGTGTTTTTACGAATTTAGTTGACAAGTCGGGTACTTGCCACAATTCAGTCGGGTAAACTTTAATTTTGAGGACTTTTTCTTTTTTTTTTTTACCAAGCCAGTCGGTACTTTTTAAGATTTCGCCCCCTTTATTTTATTTGTAGAATTACCTCTTCAAGCAGCTCACATTTTTAATCTTGTCGGTGATGATGCTGCTGAGGAATTGCCATTCATGGTTACATTTTTTGGAAAAGTTCATACCATTTAAAATTTTTTTTTTCTAGTTCTACATAAGAATGGGAAAAACTGATGAAACTACATAACAGACTATCTCATTAAAGAGAAACAATGACACAAGGCGGTTTGCCAGAAGCAACCACACCATTTCATAGACAAATTAATAAAGTTCTTCAAGATTTGGAATCCATTATCCACAAATCCATGACAAATTTTGTCACAGTTTGTAGTGCAAAAGATCTTATTATTTAAATTGATTTCAGTTTATTGTTTGTACGATTTCTGGTGGCGAAATCTTCCGTTTAATTGACCAGTAAAATTAACTGCTTTAGTATAAAACATTTTAACTGACATTGAAAAAAATGAAAGGATTGAAGGCTTTTATTTAGAATTTTAGAAACGTTGAGGTGAACAACATTATCAAAGATGTCGCAGAAACGAAGTGCAAAGTAAAGAAACTGGCACATTATCAACCTGTCAAAGTCAACTTTCACCTCCTCAAAGCAGAAACAAAATTTGAATCCCAGTACAACCTTGTGTTTGACAGCATTATTACCTATATTGAGTGGTGGTTTAGCGCTTTATTCTGCGATTTTGACTTCCAATGTGGGCATTCACTCTCTTAAAGTTCATGGGATGTTTTAGACAAAATTTTATCTCAGATATATAAAGAAGATTTAGATTCTTCTAATTTTCAGTCAGAAAATTTTCAGTAAGTTTTAAATATATAGCTGCTGCAATTATTAAAAACTTTCATAAATTAACATTTTGCAGCTTATTCATAAGAATTCATGGACTTATCTGAACACGGCAATTGCTATTTGCATCTTCCTCACCTTACCAGTCATAGTTGCTACGTGCAAAAGAGGGTTTAGTTAACTTAAGAGCTAAAAAAACTAAAACTAAAAAACGACATGAGATTAAAAATGGTTCAAGAATGTTTATCTAGTCTGACTATAGTTTCAATAGTACATGAAGTGGGCGACACCTTTAATTTTGATGACATCATCAGTGAATTTGCCTCCAAAAAAGCCAGAAAAGTAAACTTGAACAGTTTGTGGATACAGTGGATTAATGTTGTGTCATTAATGTTGCCAGTTTGTGCAACATTAATAACAAATTGTACTCTACACTTGATGTGATAAGTTTTGTAAACAATAAATCTTTTTTTTTTTCGAGGAGGGGGGAATGGAGGAAGGTTATTGGGGCGCAACTTTCCTTGCTTCCCCGAAGCGCAAAGTTGGCTCGGTACGACCCTGCTTATTTGATCCCTTGTTATACACTTATGATATTTTTCAACAATAAAGAGGAGCACCAAATAGCCAAGAAAAACTAATCAATTGTGCAAATTTTTTGAATGATAATACTTTGGTATGATTGACATAGTGAAAAATAGCTTGTGTCCATTTTAAAATCATCTTTACTATCAAAATACAGCCACCCCATTTTGGTAAATACTTTGAAAACAATCTAAAGTTCAAGTCATTATTCGTTTTTGCATAATCAATAGTGAAATACTTAACTCAGAACTAATTATATTCAATTCTACATTAGCTTTTGGTATCTAAGAGATAGTCAGTTGTGTAAAACTTATTGATAAAATGATTTTATTTTTCATTAGAACTGCAATATCTTTACCGTCTTTATTTATCGGATATATATTTTAAATGAAAACAGTTAGTCAAAGTGCAAACTACTTTAACATCAGGCATTATATGATGAAGCATTGTATTCCTTACTTTTTCCAATGATTTGAAAGATTGTTTAAATGTACCAATAGCAACCTCAACATCCCAGCTGTATTTTGTAACAAACCTAGTATGGTTAGCTTGTAAACTAGTTAACTGACTTTTAAAACAAGTTGGCATCTAGGTAAATACTTTATATGTAGTTTTCAATTCGTCTCTAAAACCTCTTTCTAAAACTAAGGACTGAACTAGTTCTACAAAATTTTATTTTTTAAATATCACCAAATATAGTTGCGTCATTAATAGTTACAGCAAAAGGTCCATAAACATCAATTACAAAACCATTTGCCGTGCTTACTAAAAAAGGTTTAAATAAATGTCTCTTTTTTTTTGCCCATTTATACAATTTTCGTTGTAAAGTAATATTTGAACCTTTTTTTACTGTATATATAAGTACCATCAACTATAATTGCTAGCTGTTCGTCTTTTAAGTCAAACAAATCTTTGATCATAGCTGTATTATTTAACAGCCAATCTTTTTGTTATCGTGATTTTGCGCCTAAATTTTTGTCCAAAAAAATCAGCATTAAGCCTTGCTTAATGCTGATGGCAGTATTTGTGAAGTTTCAATCGACAAAAACCAAAATAACAAGCAAACAAACAAAACAACAAGCAAACAAATTTTGATCAAGACCAGTCTTTAACCAAAAGATATAAAATGCGAGTGATTGTGGTGCGAGTGATTGTTCTTTTGAACGTTTGAAACGTTTTTTTTGTTGTTTTTAATTAATTTACCTAATATAGAAATTTTTGTAAAACTTATATTTTAGAAACAATATTTAGTTGTCACGTTTTTTATATCACTAAATTTTGCAAATACAGATGCTTTTTTTTAATATCTAAATAGAAAGCTTTTAAGTGAATCTTGTATCATTATTTTATTTAAGTTTACAGAGTTTTTATAAAATTGTTGTATTATCTAAATATTCATATTTTAGTCTTAACTTACTATCGACTATCAATTGGTATATGTTTGTTTAATGAAAATATCGATCATACTTTCATTTTTTATTTTGCTAAATGGAGTCGAACAAGATAAACGTTTACAAATAAAACAGATACGATGTGAATTTGCAATTTTATCGATTTCTATATTGATCGTATTTCCTTCAATAGATTGATCGCAATAACGATTGCCATTGTCGTCATAAACATAATCGTACTCTTCAGATTCGTTATCAGTACTCCTAGAATTATAATTGTCATAATTTTTTTTTTTTTGTTATTTATGTGCACCAAGAAGTCTTTACGGTCTTGTCACAGAGCACAGCGGATGTTCATTTAACCAGGAAGTTCACGCCTCCTTCCCTACCGTGACGCGAAATGTGTCCAAAGCACGTTTCGAACCTGGATTTCCTGCTTAGAAAGCAAGCACTCTAACCACTGCGCCACATTTTCAAGAACAATATTAGAATTTGATTTGTTACGAAAATTATCTTCAACAGGTGTATTAATAGAAATAACATTTTTATTTTTATGATTTGAAACTGTAGCAAGCAAAAGAACTCCTATTATTCAAACATTTTATCCTGATCCTGTATAAGATTTAATCGATCGAGTTTAAAACGATTAACAACTTTATTTATCATATTTTCATTTTCAATTTAAACAACGTTTTTTGAACCTATACTATCACCTTTTGTTTGACAAACATAACAATATCTATTTCTTAGATTATTTAATACCATTTTGTTATATTATCTTATTTTTTTCATTTTTAGTAATATAATAAAATCTTTAAATAATTTAATTCAAATTTAAAAAAAAAAAAAAATGGTAAAACTTTTCTACCCAAAAATTGTTAAAACGAAATGAAAAATCAACAATCAAAATTTTAAACTTATATTAAGTTCAAATAAAATAATTAAATTTTAATTTTGAAGTAAATAATTGTTGTTCTAATTCCTATTTAATCGTTTTAAAGCGTGGGTTTTAACCATAACAGATTAATTTTATCCTCCACAATTGTATATTAAATAGTTAAAGTATTATAAATAGTTAAAGTAAAATAGTAAATGAAGTATAAAAAAGTGAAAAATGCTTTAATTTACGCTATGAAAGGTTTTCAACAAAAAAAATGCCTTGAAAAAATATTTATTTTTTTGGATTTAAATATATTTTTATGTTGTCAAGTGTAGTTTTAATTGTAGTTTTCTGAAATTCATAGCGTAAATGCATTATTTGATTGTATTGACGAACTTATTTTACAAAAACAAAAAGGGATATTCAATCGCTAGTGTTGAATTATTCAGCCTGAGGTCCTCGTCAAAGGTGCTAAGTGCACTATAAACCACTTTTAACGCATTGGCGGCACACCTCAAATAATGCAAGCTAACTTTTGCATTCCTTTTATTTGCCAAAATTAAAAACCAACGCGAAATATTCAAGTTATCAAACCTTAATATCCGGTGCGCAATTAATCACAATTTTGTGATTTTTTAAGAATAAACATTGTTACCAAATACAATAAATCCTTTTTATTTCTTAGTTCATAATTTAGTTAGAATTTTGTTTTACTTATATGTTTCGAGATCAGATTTATGATATGGTTTATAAATAAATGGAAGTATAATGAAGTTGCTAGTTATGCTTAAAAAAAAGCAGATTTGAATTGTACGTAAATAATATTCAACACACACAATATCTTAAAAACAATTTGTGTATGTGTTTGTAATGTTTGCAACAAAATACGTTCATAAGAACACACAAACACACGCCTTCACACACACAAACATCCTAAAGATTTCCACACAGACACACACAGACATCCTAAAGATTTCCACACAGAAAAATCTAAATGAATAATAAAGTTTTTTACTTCTCTGAGCTTTAAGATCATTAGTAGAATTATCAGAATTGTTGAGCCAAAGCAAAAGGTTTAAAAAGCGTTCTTTACTAATATAGTATTGCTAACATTTTATTTTATTAATTAGGTTAGGAAAATTGTTTGTGAAGGATTTTAAATAAATAAGTCACATTTATTATAGCTGTTTTATATATTAATTGCAGCAGTTGCTGACAGGACATAAACCAATAAATTTAAAATATCAAAGTATCATTAAATCTTAAATTCATGAAAATCTGGTATATTCATGTATTTTAAATTCTTTTTGCAGTTTACACTTGACATGCATCCATTTTTTTATGTTTTGTGTATGAGTGCTATTATCAAGTCGATCAACAAAATAAAATCTTTCAATGATCATTAGTGACTGCTGTATTAGGTTGCATTTGATTATAACTACTGAATTTTATGCTGTAGGTTTTTTAATTCAATAAAAACTGCTTATCAATTTCGACTATTTTGGCACTCTCATCAGGTTTAGTTTATCTTAAAAATACCGGATTTGTCTTAGGATTTTCTATGCAGACATTTTTGTAAGATATTAACCATTTAATATTTGGAATAAAAGTTAGCTTTGTTCCCTATGCTCTATTACGATTATAAATTTGATGTTTACCAACAAACTACTATAAAAACATAAAACCAAAAAAAATTGGTCTGAAACTTTTTGCTGATTTTTTGCTTTTGCAATGTGACAAATTTGTCATTTGGATTTTACAATTATTTATAGTTAACTAGTACTGTATCCTATGTATTAGGTATTAATCTCAAAACCAAAGGCTCATAAAGCACCAATTTTCTTGTAAAACTGTATTAAGGAAAAGTTTCCGTAATTACTATTGTTGACCAATTTCATTTCTCATGGCAAACAAAAAGTATTTTCATAAAAGTATATATATACAATTAATATTATTTTAATGATAATATTAAGGTAGATTTTCTGTAAGTTTTAAGTTGTCGAACTTTTTGTTTCTAATGGCAAACAAAAAGCATTGTCTTTTAAAAAATATATATAATTAACAACAAAGATTGAAAATTGATACAAATTATTATTTGATCATATGTTATATAGAATTAAATCTTTTAAATCGAATTAATTATTATAAATTTTATTTTATAAAAGTATGTAATGAATTAACTATTAATTATTTTATTAATATTAATTATTGATTTTTTTTTTTTGTTTAAAAAATTAAAATTAATAAAATGCCACTTTTTTTTTTTTGAACTTGGAATGTTAAAACCTATTGCTTTTTTACTTTTCCTTTAGATATTTTTTAACCTAATTAACTTATGTAGCCATACATTAGGGTTATCATGAGTTTATAAAATGAATAACATTATTATTGAATTAGTTGCAATTTTAAAAAACTTTATGATTTTTTATTATGATATTAGATTATGATGCATTTTCAAGGAGTTGACTCAACTGCTCAGTTCTTAGGAGGTATGCCATTTTTGAGATACCAAAAGTTTACTACTAGTTACTTGTAAAAATATTATTATAATTTTTTATAAACTAATTTCTATGTCTAAAAAAAATTAGATGTATGGATGATCCAAGCTGATCAAAAAATCCGTCATGAAAAGACATTTCAATCTCTTAATCCTGTTAGCAATAAAATTTCTGGTTAGTTATATTTTGCTATATATTTTTATATATATTTCAACTCTTTTTTTTTTCTTTTTTATAATATTCTTTATTTTTGGGAATTTTCTTGTAACAAACAACCACAGTTAATATTGGTTGCTTGCAACAATGTATAGTTAAAAAAAGGCAAAGACAAACTAAAAATATGTGCCATATAGAACAGTTGTGGTAAGGCAACTTCTGTGAATTTGTTTTAACCTTTGTCTTAATTTTAAATCTTAGTTTTGCATGCTAAATTTAAATGGTAATTTTCTAGACTCAAGATATCTAAATGATTGTTAAAATTCGGTAGCAAACAAATTATTTAATATGTTGTTATAAGCTGTTGTATTTTCAAAACACGATAGTACCCTAAAGGTCACCTAGGACTTTATTTCCTAGGACACCTAGCACTTTATTATACCCTAAAGGTCACCTAGGACTATATTTTAATTTCATAAAAGTTTTTGATTTTGAAAGTCATCTGCATGTACCATAACTGTATTGGAAGTCATTTGCATATTACATAGCTGTAAAATTAAACCAATTTTCTTTTTTTCTCCAAAAGCTGCCAAAGCTTTTGTTTATAAGTTTCAAAGTTTATAAGGTAACTTATCAATTACTTAATCTAGTTCTAGTTTCAAAGTAATTGAAAAGGTAATTTTTAGATTGCCCTGCCTTCCATCTACCAAAACTTCAATATCTACATTTTTTAGTTCAAGAGATGTTGTAAAACTGACACAACTAACTCATCAACATTGTTGCATATTTTAATAGAAATTTTAATGTACTAAATGATTAAAAAAAACAATGTCATATTAAAGAATTATCTTTAATTATATATCAACTTTATATTTTCAACTTTTAACATTAATCAAAACACATTATTAGTATGATTCTGTATATGTTGCATTAGGTATTATATCATAATATATTACTATTAAAGAGATATTCAGCGGAGCTAAAATTACTTGTTACGACAAAGCAGTTAAGGCTAACTGTGTCCTAAAAGTGTTTGAAAACAGCAAAAAATTGCTGATTTCATTCTTGTGTTTTATGGTAAAATCTTTGTGTTAAATTATTTTTGCCGACCTCTAATAGTTTAAGATCATTTTTCCTAATTCCGAGGGCTATATATATATATATATATATATATATATATATATATATATATATATATATATATATATATATATATATATATATATATATATATATATATATATATATCAGTAATAATTTAGCTAATCTTGGTTGCCCGCCAATATTCATAAACTTGTATTTTAAAGTGTGTGTTTCACTGGAATAAAATTGTATTTATATATTTGATGAATATAAAATTATAAAGAAGATTATTTTTATTAACAATTATTTTTTTCCCAATGCTTTCATTAACTCCTCATCTCTATCTGTTTGTCTGTGAACATCAAATCTTGCAATCAATTTTTGTGTCACTTCCTGATGATAGATTTTCTTCAAACTTAGCATAAATACTCTTGCTTAATGACAATACAATATTTAATAATTAGTTTTGCAATAAGTCAATTAATTTAGTTTATTTTAATTCAGTTTATTTTTTATATGGAAAAGAGAATAATAATTTTTAAAATAAGTATGTTATTTGTTTTCTACTTATATGTGCGATTAGCTTATTTAGATAACGTGTTAACTTCATAAATGGAATGTCTGTGGTTCGAGACCTGCCTCTTTCAGAATTATTTTTGTTTTTTACACACGCATACACATACATACAATGTTAATAAAATAAAATAGTAAAACCAGAAAAAATTGATTCCAAAATTTGTGGTTTTAATAACATATAAAAGCATTGGGTTTTGTTCTTCAGCGTTTATGATATGTAACATTTATTGTAAGAAAAGTAATGATGCATTTATATAGTAGTGTTAAAAACATCTTGGTATTTTTATTTGCCTCACATTTTATGTAATTAAACTTTAAATGAATGAGAATTGCAACTTTAACGACTTTTAAAAAAGTTTTTTTTAAAATATTTGAACTAGCGTTTTAAACATAATTTTATTTTTATTGCGCAATTGTCTTTTGAAGAGTGAAAGAAAAGTTTTTTTGTAATTTAACTTTTAATAAGCAATAATATTAAGATGAAATAACTTTCAATTAAAGTTTTTTTTAAGCTTTTCTTTAAAATAAAAATGTATCATTACATTAATTTATTTTTAATAATATAATAATTGAATGTTTACTATTAGAGCTTATAACAAAACTTTAATTATATTAAAATTTATAATAAATTATATAAAGATTTATTTGTATTAAAATTTATATTATATTATATTGAAATTTTTATTATATTATTAAAACGTTTTAATAATATGATAAAATTATATTATTAAATAATCATTTTAACGAAATTAAATTAAAAAAATTAATTCAATTAAAAGGGTTTGATTAATAAATGTTTTAACAAGAAATTTTAATAATTTTATTTTGTAAAAATGTTTGCTAATTATTAGCAGTTATGAATTCAAAACTTTCATTTGTTCTTCATAAAAAGCAAAAACCAGCGTTCTAATTTAAATAGAATGGCGTAAGTTAATAAAACATAAGAAAAATAAACTTCAACAATCAACTTCAATGCGGTAGTGGTGTAGTGGTAGAGCGCTCGCTTTATAAGCGAGAGGTTCCGAGTTTGATTTGCACCACATCCCTGGTAGTAACGCGCTCAACTTATTTCTCTGCGCAGTGGCCTTGTTCGTCAAGGTTTGTGTTTCGGAGTTATAGAGTTAAGAGAGGGTAATAACCACAAGTAGCCTCTTCATCTGTAGTGGCCTTCTGGCCTTGGGGAGGTGAAATAACAAAAAAAAAAAAAAAAAAAGACTTTGAAAATGTTGCCTTGTTGTTACGCTAGATTCATCTAGTTTTTTTCCCCGCACTTCAATCCTTTGGAACTCTCTCCCATCTTCATGTTTTCCTGACTCATACAACCTTCAACTTTTCAAGTCTTCTGTCAACCATTTCCTTGCTCTATAACTCTATTCTTTTTTTTTCCTAGTAACTCCCAACTTAATAGTGGTTGCTTGCAGCCTTGTTGGGAGTGAATGCAAATAAAAAAAAAAAAAAAAAAAGATTAAAAAGTATTAGTCTTTCAAAAACAAAAGAATAAATTTATATTGCTTTGCATAACTTGCATATTTATAATATTTTCAAAAGTATACATGGAAATATAATTTGCAATATATCACATTAATAATTTTATCATTTATTAAGTTATAATAATTTAATTTAGCATTTTTACTTAATGTCTAATAATTAAGTATTGTTTCAAAATGTTGGTTGCATGCTCAAATCTTGTGTTAAAAAATGAGAATCTAAAAAGCAAATTTTTAAAAAAATAGTAAAAAACCTGTTTTATTAAAAAAAGCTCAAAAATAAAAAGAAAAAGAAGTAATCCAATATTACTGAAATTGAAGTTGATATCATTTAAATAATGAAGTAATATATTAATAAACTTTTACTGACAAGATAAAAGCTGTTCAAATAGAGTTTCATCTTCTTTTGAGATGTGGTGCTGATGCTTAGATGATGTTGACAGTGTTTTAACAAAAGAAATTACATTTATTCTTGGCACCCAGCAGTTATCATCCCACTTTGGCCAGTAGTATGACCAACTTGGATAATATTGATGCATAAACTTTACCATAAAATCATCATTCTCTTTATCAACTTAAGCAACCATACCAAGCCAGTAAAATTGGTTGTATTTACAAAATAGGTATTGTGACATCATAAGATAGTCAATTTTAATAGTTTGATATTTTTGTTTATTGAGGAAGTCAAATGTTAGAGCAAAATCATTATCATCTGATACCCTTTTCATTTTTATAATTGAATGAGAAGGCATAAATTGATGGAAACCTCTCCTGGAAATAGTAGTTGCTATTAAAAGTCTATCAGTAAGTTTGTTTCATACTAGCTTCATTCAGGGTGGCCATTGGTCATGGAAATCATGGAGAAGTCAAGGAATTTTATTTGGTCATAGAAAAAGTCATGGAATTCCTAAATTTTTATTGAAATTACTATTATTGAAAATACTTTTTTAAAAAGATCTTTTTTTTTTTCTACCTGCGATATTTTTAAGATGCAAAGAAAAGTACTAGTATGTCTAGTCTAAGTCCTTTTTAAAAAAGATGTTTCTACAGTGTAAGTTATCAGAGAAGTAAAAGAAAAAGATTTTTTTTCAGACATGATTTCAGAACTTTCTACCAATTAGTTTTTGGTTTGCATGTTTTATAATGACCAAGTTGCCAATGCTTAGTGCATGGCAAGTACTGAATATTTTACTTAAGTGATTTATCATAAAAGTTTATGAAGAGTCATGGAAAAGTTATAGAAAAGTCATGGAATTTTATTTTCAAATTTGAGTGGCCACCCTGTCATTTCTTCAGCATCGACGTACACAAACATAATCCCACTGATTGATTTATGACAGTATTCAAACATTGCTTGAGAAGGCAGTATTTGACCTGTGGTTAGACTCTGCAAGCTAGCAGTTGCAACAAGCCATTTAACAGTCATGCCTCACATGGAGATTTGCAATTACTTGTTGTAAAGAAATTCCAAATGCTTTTTTTTAACAAACAGAAAAATCTTGAGCATGGCGACATAAATTGTAAAAATATTTGCAGTTTTTTTACTGCTTTGCACAACCATTCAAAAAATAATGAATATTTGTAATTGTGAGACAAGGATGAGTTTTAGTATGATCAATAGTTTTATGCATAACTTCATTGATAAATCCAACATCGTGATTCAGATAATCTGAAATTGCACAAAAAGAAAATATTTCTAATTTCACTTTCTTGTAGTTGATGTAGTTGATGACAACTGGATGAAGAGAACATTGACTCTTGCACTGCTTGATTCTAAAGGTTTTAGGTTGAGTTTAAAAATCATGAGGTTTTTCTTCGGATTCTAATAATTTTTATTAGAATGTGAAGAAAAACCTCATGTCTTTAGAAATT